GATCACGAAGATCTGGACATGACTGAAAAATGGCTCAGCACAGGTCTGACAGTGTACTCTTTTCTATACTTTAGTTTTTACTTCCTTTAATCTAGTTTTCCACAAGTCCAACTTGAGAACAAAGGTATGTTTCATTATTTATTCTCCAGAACCTTGAATGGTTTTTAAATTACCTTCAGAAATATAGAATAAATATTTAAATTGAAAAGGTAAAATATTGTAGGGTATCATCAGTTCTTTCTGTTTGGGGTAGTATGGTGGATATGGTAACAGGAACCATAACTCTACCAATCTGGCCTCAGACACTTGACACTTTCTAGCTGTGTGACCCTGGGCAAGTCACTTAACCCCATTGCCTAGCAAAACAAAACAAAACAAAACAAAATTACCAATCTGGAGAACACAGGAAGTGTCTTCAGCAACCTGATTTCCTTGGTATCATCATCATAAGTGATACCTTATAGGTGTAGCTTCATGTAGCATTTCTTTATACAGCCCATTTGCTCCTTTGATACTGAACCCCAGTTCAAGCCCTCATCATCTCCTCTGTCCTGGAATATTGCAATAGCTTCTAATCGGGCTCCCTGCCTCATCTCTCCTCACTCTAGCCCATGCTTCGCTCCACAGCCAAATGGATTTTCCTAAAGTACCAGTCTGATCACGTTACTCACCGGACCCCTTCATAAACTCCAGTGACTCCCTACTACCTCCAGTAGCTAGAAAGCAATTCAAGATCTAAAGGAGGAAGAGTGTGCCCACAAAAAGTGGAGGAGGGGGTGTAAAATAACTGGTAGTTCTGCCTGGCTGCTCACCCACATCTTACCAGAGGAAACAGGATATGTGAAAGAGAAACATAAACTCCTCTGGCATTTGGAAGCTCTTCATAATCTGGCCTTTTCCAGTCTTTCCAGTCTTTTCACACTTTACTCCACTCTATGCACTCTTGAAGCTCAAACACTCGGGCTCTTGTTCCTGTGTTTGTCTCCTCTGACACTGCCACCACCCAAGTCCAGGCCCTCATCCTGTGCCAATGGCTGTCCCTCACATCTGGGATGTTCTTCCTCCTCACCTTTTTTTTTTTTTGGCTAGGCAGTAGGGTTAAGTGACTTGCCCAGGCTCACAGAGCTAGTAAGTGTTATGCCCTGAGGCTGGATTTGAACTCAGGTCCTCCTGACTCCAGGGCCAGTGCTCTATCCACTGTACCACCTAGCTGCCTCTCTCACTTTTTTTTTTTACAAGAGACTTTTCCTGTCCCATCCCTCTCCACCCCACCCCACTCCCTGCCCAACTATTAGTGCCTTCTCTTTAGAGATTACCTTCTTTCTGCTCTGTATATATCATATACACACGTTATATGTAGTGTATATGATATATACTTTTTTTTCTTCCAACAGAATGTAGGCTTTTTGAGAGGAGGGACTATTTTTTACTTTTGTGGTACTCCCCAGTACGCAGCACAATTCCTGGTACATAATAAGCACTTAATAAATGCTTATGGACCAACTGACTCACATAACCATTAGTCAGTGATCGGGCATTTATTAAGCAGTTTCTGTATGCCAGGTACTTTACTAAATACTGGGGATGCAAAGAGAGGCAAAAATACAATCTCTGCCCCCAAAGAGCTCACATTATGCCGTAGCTCAGGCCCTTAACACCTTTCTCCAGGGACTAGTGCAATAGCCTCCAATTTTGTCTTTCTGCTTTGCCTTCTCCAATCCATATCCCACCCAGTTGCCAAATTCATGTTCCTAAAGTACAGGTCGAACCGTATCACATTCCCTACTCATGGAATGCCAGTAGGAAACTTTGTTTCTAGGATAAAACACAAAGTCCTCTCTTGCATTCAAAACCTTTCACAATCTGCCTCCAGCCCATTTTTCTAGGTTCATTACACGCTACTCACCTTCCTGTATACTCTTTTTAAGCCAAACTGGCCAGCCTCCTGCTCCTCCTCCAGATCCCTCTCTCTCTCACTTCTTATGCCTTTGTTCAGGTTACCCAACTGCCTGGAAAGCCCTGTCTCTTCTGGGCACCTTAGTTTTTCCTAGCCTCCTTCACTCCCACAGGTGCCACCTCCCACATGAGTCTTTTACTAGTCCACACGCCTCCCTGCCCCCTCCAGCCCCTTTTACTTTGCATTGATGTACATGTTTTTCATATTTACTTTTTACGTTTCCAGGTGGCTTATTTCTCCTGTCAATTGCAAATTTCATAAAAGCAGGAACTGTTTTGTTTCACTTTTATTTCTGTATCGCCAGAGCCTAGCCCAGTTCTTGGCACGTAGTAGGCACCTAATAAATGCTTCTTAAAGGATGAATGAGTGAAATCCTGTCCCTGACCCTGATAAACTGACTATGAGATGAACACTTAACCTATTAGGCTCTCTGTTTCTTCCTGTTTAAAATAAGAAAAAATATTCTTTTCCTAGGATTGCTGTGAATACCATAAACCTTACAGTGCCAGAAATATATCATAATGTTGTAGAAATATTGTAAGAGGCAGTTTTCTATAGGAGAAAGAGTGTTGGGCTTTGAGTCATGAGATGGGGGTACTCATCCTGACCCCAGGGCTTACTAACTGAATGGCCTACAGGTAAATCACTTAACCTCTCTCAGATTCAGTTTCTTCACCTTCAAAATGAGGGCAATACTTTTTGCCCTTCATATTTCACCTGGTTATCGTGAAGAAAGTAAAACCTTACAAAATATGTTTAAATCTTAAAGCATTGTGAAAATGTCAACTATATCTACAAGTTCTATCTATGGAAAGGAGAGTCTAGTTGTAGATAAGATTAAACAAGTCCATAACTATACTCAAAATTGGAGGTTCCCAGAGCAACTGGTAATTTGGAAGTGACTGGCACTTTGATGGGTGAGGGGAGTATGGATTGGAATAAGAAAAGTTGAGGTAAGAGACTAACCTTACTGGATGTTACAATAGTCTAGGCATGAGGTAATGAGGGACTGCACCAAAGTGGTTGCAGTGACAGAGGAGAGAAGTTCGGGGAGGTAGGGAATGGGGAGAAGATGTTGGCAAAGGTAGGAATTAGATATGACTGGACTTGATAATGAATTAGATTCGGGGAATGATGATGAGGGGTCAGGAATGACTCCTAGGTTTTGAGCCTGAGTGATTGGGATGATGATGGCATCCTAGACAGTAATAGGGAAGTTAAGAAGAGTAGAGTGTTTGGAGGAAAGGATAAAAGGTTCGATTTGGGACGTGTTGAGTTTGAGATGCCTGCGGACTATCGTTCAAGGTGTCTAAAGAAATGAAAGAAGGAAACAAGCATTTATTAAGCACCTACCTTATGCCAGGCACCGTGCCACTAAGTGTTCTACAAATATTATCGCATTTGATGATCCTCATAACAATCTTGGGATGTAAGTGCTATTATTTTTCCCACTTTACAGTTGAAGAAACTGAGGCCCATAGGCATTGTGAGGCCAGATTTGAACTCAGATTTTCCTCACTCCAAGCCCAACTACAGTTGGCAGTAGTTGGAAATGGAGGTGGAGAGAAAAGTTAAGGCTGGAGACATGTCTCTTCAGGGAAGAGAGGGAGAAACTCAACAAACCTTTTATATGCATACTCAGTTATGGCGCAGCAATAAATTACAAAGGCTTTTTGTCACCAAGCAGAAAACAGAGGGAAAGGCTCCTTTCATATGCATATGCAGAAGCAAGCTCGATTAAGAAGCAAACTGGATTAAAACTAGGCTTGGAGTACTGCATATGCCCTAAGAATTAGGCCCTCCTTGGCCAGCCCTCGGTAACACATGTATATATACCTTTGCATGCATGTGTTTGTGTATATAAACTTCTGCCATGTCTCCCTTTTCCCCCATCAATGAATGCTTCTCCTGGATCTCTATTTCAGGGAGTGCCCTGGTCATGCTTCACTTCACTTTCAACTCTTCAACATTCTCTTCCTCCTTGCATCCCCATACGTACCCTACCCTTGTTCACCCTTACCCCATCCTAGTACTGGAACCACCAACCAGGGTCAAATCAATTCTGCCATTGGTCCTAGACAGAGCATGTTAATCTACTCACCTATAACTCTATTCACCAACTCTCTAAGTTTCCAAACCAAAGTGCCAGTCCCTGGCCACCACCTTTGTATGTTATCTACCCCCACTCCCTACCCCCATTAAGTATAATCTCTGAAGGGAGAAACTGTCTTTGCTTTTTATGTCTATCCCTCAGCTCTTAGAACAATAAATACTTAATAAATGCTTTTTCATTCATATGTTCTTTCTTTTTTTAACATGCGTTGTGTTGAGCACTGTCCATCTTTGCTTCCTTGTAAGTTTTCTTTTGTTCTCTGCTGGTCACTTTTTGCTTGTTCTTTTCCCCACTTCATCATATGTTCTTTCATATATAAAAGTCATCGAATATAATTGCCTCATTTTGTTGTCGTGCAGTCACATCTGACTCTTTGTGACCCCATAGACCATAGCATGCCAATATTGTCCATGGGGTTTTCTTGGCAAAGATACTGGAGTGGTTTGCCTCTCCAGTGGATTAAGGCAAAGAGAGGTTAAGTGACTTGCCTGGGGTCATACAGCTAGTATCTGAGGCTAGATTTGAACTCAGGTCTTCTTGAACTAGGCCTAGTGCTCTATCCACTGAGCCACCTAGGTGCCTCACCTCATTTTGTACGTGAGAAAATTAAAACCAAATGAATTACCCAATAACACACAGGTAGCAAACAAGTGGGTGAGAATTCAACCCTAGGCCCTCTGACTCGAGATCCAGTATTCTTTCCACTAGAGCACATTGCTTAACTCCTAGCAGACTAAGTCGTCTCTCAAGTGCTGAGCATTAACCTCTCCCCAAAGACTGGAGCCATCCTAGGGAATGACGGCTGGGAGGGCAACTTTTGCTGTCCTCTAGAATTTCCTGGAGTGGTTTGTTTGGGGCTTCCCAGAGGCCTTAGAGGCTTCCTCAGAGCTCAGCTCTGGCATTAGCAGAGTGAATCTTAGCTTGGCTTACCTTTCCCACAGCCTTTCTCTGAAGAGCTATAGACAGATGGCTAATTATCATAGGGAGTCAAGCTGGTGTGGAGAGCTGGGTGCAGACCCAGGGGTACCCAAGCCAAGCTGCAGTCTCTTAGCATGTACAAACAGCTTTAGGCTTTACCCAAACACTCACTGTGACTGACCTTTCCAAAAGGAAGCTGCTTGGTGTCATTGCTTGGAACAGATGGTCACGAGAAAAGTGGAAGAAGGAAACCCCAGCACAGCTGCACTGCCCCCTCTCCAACCTCCAGGCCAACAGCCTTCTGGCTTAGCAGTGAGATCATTATCTCCATTACCCATATTTTGTTTGCTTCTTGTTCTTAGGGAAAACACGAGAACCTGCCATAGTTTTCCCTTAGCATGGGGAAATCTTGCATCTAATCTGATTTCTTCTTAGGACAAGCATTTTGCAAAACTTGTTATCCCAAACCCAGGCATTGCATTGAAACAACAGTCAGTGCTGGTAAAACTGCTTGGCCCAAGCAGCCAGTATGAATGAAGAATTTCATGGAAAAAACCCATAGCACAATTTTGGGGCACAAATCCCAGAATGAGTCAACAAGGCAACATGGGTCTATAGAAGTGAATTTGAATCTCAGTTTTGTGATTGACTAGGTGAATGGCACTGGGTCATTGTGCCTCTTTGGGCCTCCATTTTCTCATCTATAAAGTAATTAGATTGGACCAAATGAACTTACATTCTCTTCTAGCTCCAATAGTCTGAATCATAAATTGTTTATTTATAAAATGTTCCCAAGGAAAGGCAGTTTTTGTGCCTGGCACAAGAATAAAAGGAAGAAACTGTGCCTGAGATAATTGGGAGGCAAAATGCTGCCTCAAATGCTACTGGAGTGGGCAGTAGGGGAGCAGGCAGGCCAGGGAAGACCTCACCTGGGGGGTAGCCAGGTGCTACAAGCACATAGCTTCGTATTTTAATAAATCATTCTTGAGAAGCTCAGCTGTATTTATGCTGTTAAAAGGCTACAAGTATATCCAGTACCTCCTAAATATCAGCATCCCAGAACCATGCCCCTGTCATCTCCCCCCAGTTACAGCTCTGTGGAGAAGAATGCTTCTGAATAACATAATTGTGTGTACTTGCAGACCAAAATTAAGAAGTCTCCCCTAATTTTCTCTAATCAAATTAAGCAGTCCAGGTTCCTTTAGTCTGTGCTCACCAGCAGCACTTTATTTTCACACATTAATAAAGACATTCATTCTAGGGTTACTTGGGAGTCTGTGGGCTGTTATTGTTCCCAACAAATTATTAGTATGTACAGACTACTTATATTTTTCTTTCAGGTAAGAAAAAAAAAACCATGTGAGTTGATTACTGTATTCTCAGGAAATCACTTTCGTCTATCACTCTATTTCAGGACCTTGACACTATTTAAGAGCCTATGGAGATTCAGCTCCTTGCTCATAAGTGATTAGGATTAGACTAGACCCTGATCCAATTGACTCAAGTTTAGCTGACAATGCAATGAAACCAACAGGGGTACCCATTATATGGGGTAAAAGGCTCCTTCTCTCCCCTCCCCTTTATAGTATCCTTCACTAATGTTTGTTGGATTATATAAACACAGTCCTCTGGCCTGACTCCTCTGGGCACTCCACCCTCAGAGTGAAAACATTTAGTCAGATATCTAGAGTAGTACTCCCCAAAGTTGAGTTCATGGCCTCCGGGGGACAGTGTCATGCCCTTAAAGCAGTAATCATAACCTTTTTTGGTGTTGTGGATTCCTTTAGCAATCTGATGACGCCTATGGAGCCTTTTTCAGAATCATGTTTTTAAATGCATAAAATAAAATACATAGAATTACTTGGGTAAGATTTCTGTTTGTTCCAAGTTGTTAATTCTTTTTCCATGTCTTTCTTCCATAGTTCTCATTTCTTTTCTCATTTTTTCCTCTACTGCTCATTTTGCTTTTAAAATCATTTTTAGATTTGAAAAAAAAATTGCTTCATCTCTTCCAGTAATTCTGGCTGCACTTGTGCCCAAGCTGAGTTTTTCTTTAAGGTTTTACTAGTTGATTTTTTGGTGTTATTCTCTTCTTCTGGATTTGTAACTTGAGCATTCCTGTCACCATAATAGCTCTTCATGATGGGATTCTTTTTTGTTCATTAATTCTTCCAGCCTACTTCTTGACTTTATTTTAGGGCTAGATTTTGTGCACTTTTAGGGGGAATGTCTGAACTGAACTTCAGTCCTTTTGGGTCCTTCTGCTGCTTTCTTAGGGCATTGAATGTCATGGCATTCCAACATCTCAGAGACAGCTCAGGCTGGGGACCTGTAAGCATTCAGCGCTCCCAAAGTGGTGTGATCCAGGATAAAGTCTAACCACTGCCCTCCTTGTCTGAGCTCTCTAAGTTCCTGAAGCAGGTTTAAATCTGAGCAATACACCTGTGGGTTCGTTCCTGGTTAGAAGTTCCAGTAGACTGCTGCTGGACAAAGCTCTGCAGGTTCAGAGAGCCAGAACTGCAGGCTTCAGACTGGGCTGGAGGCAGAGCTGAGTCCCTGTTGCACTCCTGAAGCCAAACAGTTCCTGAACCACAAGGCATCTGAACTTCTTGCTTCTAAGCTTGTTCTTTGCTCAGTACAGAGTTTAGGGCCCATGACCACTCTTTAACCTGGAACAGCCCTCCCTGGTGTTGGCTCCCTCCTCAGTGCACCCCAGATCTGTGACCTGGAACTGAGTAGTGAAGCACAAAGCTGCCAATAGGCATTTGTTCTGCATCTTGCAAGAGGTCCCAGTGCCCCAGTGTCCCAGTATGGGTCTGGTACACAGCCTCTCTCTACAGTGAAATGTTCTGTACAGCATTCTCCTGGCCAGACCCCAGCCCCAATGCTTGCAGGCCTCTCTGTCCATGCCAAATTTTGAAGAAAAAAAAAAGCAAAGGGAATAGCTAGGTGGAGCAATGGATAGAGCTCCAGCCTATCCAGGAGCACCTGAGTTCAAATCTGACCTCAGACACATGACACTAGCTGTGTGACCCTGGGTAAGTCACAACCCCTATTGCCTCACCAAAAAAAAAACCAAAAAACAAACAAACAAAAAACAAATATTAACTTTAAAAAAAGTCCTAATCAGTACTAGGTCTAGTGCATTTTTAGATCACTGCAGAGGAGTTGGGTTGGAGGAGCTGGACTAAATTTCCTGCTATTCCACCATCCTGACCCCTAATGTGAAAGATTGCAAAGTAGCCCAATTAGATTGAAATAGTTACCAAAAAAAATTTTTTTTCAAGTTGGTAGATCCCAGGTTATGAACCTTTGCCGTAAGAGATGCACAATTGCACAATCCTCTGGTATACTCTCTCTTCTCTGTGTTTTTTTGACTCTGCTTTCCCTTGGTTTTTCTCCTACCTATCTGACTGCTCCCCAGTTTTGTTTTGTTTTTGGCTTTTCATCTGTGTCTTGACCACTAACTATGGATGTCCCCCAAGGCTTTGTCCTAGGCCCTCTTCTCTTTTCTCTGTATATTTTTCTCAATTATTGTTCTCATCATATCACTTATCCTCCTAAGGCAGACTCATATATATATACACACACACACACACACATATAACTACATATAATATATCTGATATATAACACATGTATCTTATATTCCTATATATTATATACTGGAATGTATATAATACAGATTATAAGCACACGCACACACATATATAATTCCCCGGTCTCTCTCCTGAGCTCCAGTCTCACATTACCAGCTAACTACCTGCTGAACATTTTGACCTGGTTGTCCTAACATATCTCAAACTCAAGATGTCCAAGGCATTGTCTTCCCTCAAATGTTCTCTTCTTCCGAATTTGCCTGTTACTGCTCAGGGCACCACCATCCTTCAAGTTAGCCAGCTTCACAACCTCAGTGTCACCTTTGACTCTTCTCATAATCCAGACATGTGTCGAATCTTGTCATTTCTTTCTCACCATCCTTTTTCACTTACATCTCCTTCTTCCCATTTACACAGACACCATCCTAGTTTAGGCCTATGGTGACTTGTATTGTTGCAGTAGCCTTCAGGTTGGTTTCTGTGACTAAAATCTCTCCTTACTCTAATCCAGCCTCCACTCAGCTACCAAAAATGATTTTCCTAAAGAATGGTCCTGCCCAGGTCACTCCCTGCCCTGCCCCTGGTTGATAATATCCAATGTTCCCTATGACTTCCAGGATTAAATACAAACACCTGTTTGGTGCTTAATGCTCTTTACATCCTGACCTATTCCCACATTTTACTCCCCTCCGCACGCTCTACAATCCACCCGTATTGGATTCTTTGCTGTTCTTAAACATGATGCTGTCTCCCATCTCCTTACTTTGTATTGGCTGTTCAATATTCTCTCCTTCCCATCCACTGACACTTAGAATTCCTGGCCTCCTTTGAGATGCAGCATAAGTACCACTTCCTCCAGGAGATTTTTCGTGGTCCTCCAGGTAGTAACATCTCCACTAAAGTTACCTTCTATCTATTCTATACTGAGCTGATATGTTGTGATTTATATGTTGTGAAGGAGGGACTGTTTTTACTCTTTCCTTGTATAGCCCTTTCAAAGCTTTGAGACTCCTTACTCCAACTGTCATTCTGCGTTAATAGACAAGCCAAGTCCCTGAGCAAAACTACACCTGCTCCTCAGGATACTAGTGGGACCACTGAAGAATTGGGGGGTTGTGTTTCTCTGGTGCTAGCAGATCCAGCTTGCATTCTTGTGTTCTTCCCAATGATAACTGCCAGTGATTAAAACCTCCATTTCACTTATTGAATTAACATCAGCTAGCCTTTACAAATGATTTTTAGTGGAAAGATATAACAAAAACAGAAATTGAAGTATCTGAGGCAACATTTGAACTTGGGTCTTCCTGACTCTGGGCTCAGTGCTCTATCTCCTGTGCTACCTAGCTGCCTTTTTTTTTTCAGAATAGGAAAATCCAGTTACACCGTTAAAAGAATGATCAGTGATGAAGTCTCACCATAAGACTGTATGTGCACAGTTGGAACAAGTTGCTGTTAAACAGAGCATATGAG